GAGCTCTATTTTAAAAAATGATATGTGAAAAAAATTTTTAAAGAAGTTAGAAGGAGCTGCACCACTAATTCAAAGTGATATAAGTACTTCTGCAATTCCATTGTTATTAGGACACCTAATTAAATGCAAAGCATCCGAGAAAAGCAGTGTTGGGCTTGTAAATCTAAAGTGCCAAAGTCAGGGGAAGAGAGGGAAGTTGCCTGTGTCCTTGGTGCCGTGAAGCCTCAGTGCATCACTGTTAAAGGACTGCATGGCTGTGTGCTCTCCTGCCTGTGGGTGCAAGGGGGCAGCTCCCATGACTTCCGTCCTTCATGGGCTGAGCCAGGGGTCTGACTGGTCACAGAGCTGCAGCTGTATTACACAGCATGGGCTCTGATTGCTTGGGGTGCAGGGTGTAGGCAGAAGAACTGGGGGGAGTCTGCCTTCCCATAGGAGGAGGCCATTTCCCTGCACCTCTCCCCCACCCTGGGTGACTTGAGGCCGGTAGTTCAGTGAAAGGACAAAGGATGGTTTTGCTCAAGTCCCAGCTTTGCTGCATCCCTGTGTCTTAAGAGGAGAGGGCTCTTCTGTGATACATTTGTTCCCAGCTCTGTGGCACGTGTATGACTGTCCATTCTGCAAAGTACCTCTGTCCCAGTGGGCCCTCGGGAGTCACAGCAGGCTTAAGTCCCATTTCCCACTTCCCAGGAGACTGGTCATTAGGCAAGTACAGCATATTTGGAGCACCTACTCTGTGCCCCCTGAATGCCAGGACTATGGCAGTACACAAGACTGCCCCACCCACCATCAGGGTATATATGATTTGGTCAGTCACAGATAGGCTATTTTCAAATGACAGCCAGGGCCACAAAGGAAAAAAATGAGGTGAGAAGCTAGAAGCTGCACCCAGGTGGTCAGCAAGGGGTTGGGTACACCAAGGTGAATCATTAGCATGCTGTGCAAGGACGACTGGGAGAGCCACTTTTGCAAGGTGATGTGACATTCAGGGAGGGCATCAGACTCTTGACTCCAGCAAGCTGGAAGGCTTCCCAGAGGAGAGGAGGACGTCACGAACCCTTGTCCTTATAATGACAGCTGCCATCTGTAGAAATCACTCTCTGTCTCCCACCCCCTGGCTGGGCTCCTCGTGGGCATCATCCTTGCCAGCTGTAACAGATGAAGAAACTGAGCCTCAGAGAGGGGTCTTCTGCCCAAGGTCTCAGCGTATCAGGTGGACAGGTGAGTTACACCCAGCTGTCCGACTCCACAGCTCCTCCCTGCCCAGCAGGTGTTATGATGCTGTGAAGACCTGGGGAGTGGGAAAGGGCATCAGTCTGTCTCAGAACATCAGCAGTGACAAAAGCAGGGGCAATGGTGTTCTGGCTGGGAAGCCTTTCTGTCCCTGCCTGTCCTGTCTTTTTGCCCAGCAAGCCTCAAGGCAGGTAAGACTGGCTGGTCATTAGCACCACATGGACTCAGCCAGTGAATAGAACCCCGTGTCTCTTTCATGTTAATAAACGGGATTTGCCACCATCAGTGGCAGTGGATTTGCCACCATCAGTTTCCATTAGTGTGATCATCTCTACTCCATGAGCAACTGTAAGCAAGTTCCTTGCTTCTTCCCAGGCTGCTGTCCCACTACTCAACGTGGTAGAGCTGGGATATGAACCCCCATCAATGTAATATGGGCTACACACTCAGGTCTGTGCCGTGTAAGCTCCTTCCCTCAAATACCCTGCTCAATCTCTGTATTAGTCCATTTTCTGTTGCTGTAACAAAATATCTGAGGGTGGATACTTTATAAAGGAAAGAAGCTTCTTTAGCTCACAGTTCTCCAGGTTTAAGGGCATGGCACCAGCATGGGCTGGCTCTGGTCAGCCCTTGTGGCAGATGGTGGCCCAGTTGTAAGAGGGAGAGATCACATGGCAAGATGGGAAGCCAGAACAGTTGAGGGGTCAGGCTCACTCTAAAACAATCTGCTCTCATGAGACCAATGTTCATCCTTTGATGGCCACACCCTTGTGCTGTAATCACCTCTCGTGTCACCACACTGGGGACTGCGCTTGGGAGATACACTCGCACTGTGGCCCTCCTCTCCCCTATTCCCCCAGAAAAGAAGAGACACCAATAGAAGGTCTCCGCAGGGGGAGACAGGGGCCACTGTCAGGGGTCCTTCTGGACGTCACAGCACTGTGACAAAGGTACCATGTTTGTCCCCTGTGTGGATGTGAAGACCGAGGCTTGGCCGGGCAGAGGCACCTATGCAGGAACCCACAGTCTGAGGATAGTAGTTGCAAGATTTGCCTCTGGGATGATCCATCTTCAAGCTGGGGACTCTTTCTGTCTCACTTCATGGTCCCTCACTCCCACCAGGCCACTGCCGGCCTCTGCCCAGTGTCTCCATTGACCAGGGCTGTCCCAAGCTGGGCTTCCTTTCTGTTAGCAGGCAGGCTCTCTATCCTCTCCAGAACACACCTCTGCCTGTGACTTCTTAAGAATTTCGAGGCTTCCTTGCCCTTTGCCAACCCTGCAGCCAGGTGGGGCCATGTTCCCCTCCCCAAGGGCTCTGGCTCAGATGTACCCCCTGTAGGCAGCTAGAAAGCCAGGGAGCCACCTGTCCTCGTGTGCCCCATCCCCCCACCCCAGCACCTTGGTTTGACTGCTCCAGATGTGGAATGCCAGGAGAGGGTGACATGAGGGCTGCCAGGGCAGCTGAGGGGGCTTCCTTTTGCAGGGCCTTCGCAGTCCAGGTGCCTTGTGGCTGGGCACCAGGATGCCTGCATCAGGCCCTGACCTCACTTATTTGAACATTTATTCTGTCTCTCAGTGCCTCAGTTTCCTGGACTGTAAATGGAGATAAGCCAGGACTCACCGCCAGGGCTGTGGCTGAGAATGATAGGAATTCTTGTGTTATGGCAGTGTCCAGTACATAGGAAGCCCAATTTAAGTTTCTTAAATAATAAAGGAAATGACTTCTTAGTAAATTGAATCATCCAGTAGAGAAGGGCCAAGGCCCACATGGTGTCTGGTGGCCCCAATGTGGCAGGAACACTGAGGAGAGGCATCCCTGGGCCACAGGATGCTGAAGACAGTCCTGCAGGGTGTTGTTGATAGTTAAGAGAGCAGTTATAGGCCATGCACTCTGCTGAGTGCCTGCTGTGTGTTTATTGATTGAAACCCAAATGACAACTCTTTTGGCTCCATTTTGCAAAAGGGGAAACTGAGGCTGAGCAGTGAGGTGGCTGGTGTAGGCTGCACATGCCTGAGATGGTCTCCCCAGCCAGCCTTGTCACTCCTGCTCTGTCCCACTGAGGCCCTGCCTCCTTCTTAGTCCACTTGGGCTGCTGTAGCAGAACACTGGGACTGGATGCCTTAAGAAAACAGCAGAAATGTCTTTTTTCCCAGTCTGGAGACCAGAGGTTGGAGGTCAGGGTGCCGCCTGGATTGCAATCTTTCTTGCAGGAGGCTACCTTCTCATCATGTCCTTTCTTGGAAGAGAAAGCAGTCTCTCTCTTTCTCTCCTTCCCTCCTCTTATAAAATCACTAATCCCATCACAAGAGCCCATCCTCATTTAACTTTAAGGACCTCCTAACGACCCTGACTCCAGATATAGTCATGGCGGGGCCAGGACACCAGCATATGAATTTAAGGGGGACAGTGTGATCCAGAGCATCTCCCTAATGGCCTTCCTTTGCTACCCTCTCATTAGTTGGGCCCCTCACCCTCTTTGCTCATTTTTGCATCCTTTCTCCAGCCTGGGAGACTGCAGCTGGAAGGGACAGCAGACATGAGATCACTGATACTTCTGCAATAGTTGGAGCTGCTAGAGCCCAGAGAGGAGAAGGATCTTGCCTAGAGCCACATAGCACACCCCCGCCCACAGATGAGAATCAGAGCCTAGGCCCTGCCGCCCTGCTCCAGCACCTTGGTGGTTCTCCAGTTGGCTTCCTGGTGGGCCTTGCCTGAGTGTGCATAGAGTGTCAGCCTTGAAATCCAGTCTGAATGCACCCCCAGGCCAGACATATGACTTGACTTCCAGTGTGTGTGTGCCTCAGTTTCCTCTCCTCAGAAAGAGGAGTCATGTGACAGTTTGCCTGCCAAAGGATGTGGTGACATATAATCACACCTAGTGGGGAGTGGCTCAGGAAAGGTTGGCAGGCCTGGCTTCATGCTTTGTCCTGTCGCTGTTTGTGTGGGTGGCCCGAGTGGGTTACAATCCTGCTGTAGGCCTCTGTGTCCTGTAACAAAGTCTCGGTAACACATGTCCTGCCCTGCTCAGTACCAACCTCAGTCTCTTGAGGATATTTTTCAATGTTAAAGGAGCTACCTCCATGCCCAAGTTTGGCCCCATGACATCTCAACCACAGGACCCTTTTGGGGACTGTGGTTTCTACATCTGTAACACAGGAGCAGGGAAGAGCTGAGATGAGCTCTAGCCCTCTTGCCAAGGAACAAGGGGACCAGCCTGGTGGCTGTGCATCAGTTCACTCAAATCCTTGCTGCTCAGAGAAAAGTACAGTTTGAGATCTGCGCAACAGCCTGACCTAGGAGGTTATTAGAACTGCAGAATCTCGGGCTCCAGCCCAGCCCTGCTGAACCAGAACCTGTATTTGTCCAGGTTCCTAGCTGATTCATGTACACATTGAAATTGGAGAACATTTCAGCGAACGAAAGGTGCCCTTTTAAAAGATCGCTTGTAACTCCAGTTGTGATGAGTTTGAACAGGGAGGCAGCTGGGCACATCTGGACCTCTTTAGACCTACCTTCCCCATCTGTGGAATGGATGCAGTTGGAGCTATACTGGCTCAGTGATTTTCAAACTGTTTCATGGAGCCCCAGGGTTCCCTGGAGGAGCCTTGGGTAACCATGGGGGCTATGGGAAGTTAGAGTGGGCCAGGGCCCTACTGTCCACTTTATTCCAAGCTTGGCATGTCTCTGTGGTACCATGGGCCGGGAGCCTCCTGTGTGGGCCCAGGGGCATGTATGGGGTGCAGTCTGAGCAGACTCTCTTCTCTCCCAGGGAACGCTTGAAGCGCAGCCAGAAGAGCGCCAAGGTGGAGGGCCCAGAGCCGGTGCCTGCTGAGGCCTCACTGAGTGCCGAGCAGGGGACGATGACGGAGGTGAAAGTGAAGACCGAGCTGCCTGATGATTACATCCAGGAAGTGATCTGGCAGGGCGAGGCCAAGGAGGAGAAGAAGGCCATCAGTAAGGATGGGACCGGCGATCTGCCTGCTGAGATCTGCGTGGTGATCGGCGGCGTCCGCAACCAGCAGACCCTTGGTGAGTGCCCATCTGTGAGGGTCAGGGCCAGGACCAAGTCCTGGGGAGAAAGGCTAGCATCTCTGCCCTCCCTGACTGAGAGAGCTTCAGTGGCTCCTCTCTAACTTCCCAGGACTTGGTTTTGCTTGGTCAACCCCAGTCTGGAGAGCTCTTCTCTTTCTCCCTGGTGAGGCAAAGCCCTGCCCGTAGATCAAGCCTTTGCTGAAGTCACACACTTGGAACCTCCTGCAGGCTCAATGAGTCCCTCCTGCCTTGAGGTTCCTGTGCTCTTGGTGTGGCCAGTGCAGCTCTTGGCACTCAGAGTCTCAAATGCTGCTCTCCTTTCCTTCTCCCTGGCGTGATGTGGGCAGCTCCCGGCACAGGTCCTGCTCAGAGCAGACACCTGGTTGGGATCAGATCAGTGGCAGACGAGGTCCTTCCCTTACCTAGAGGAGCCCTGGAGAAACTAGCTACAAAGTACTGATTTCTCCTCCTTCAGCTCTCCAGCAGATGCCCTACAAGGGCTCCCTGCACTGTAGTCAGGTTCACAGACTCTAAGGCCCACAAGGCCCAGCAAACGTGCTTCTCTAGCATAAGTATAGAGACAGCAGGGCAGGTGATGGGGACCACATGTCCAGTTTGAGCACCCACACCCTATGTGCAGAGGGCAGCTCCTTCTCAATGCTTGGGGGGATCCGGGCTTGGCATTGCCAGATCCGTGCCCCCATCCTGTACCAGAAATGAAAATTATCATCTACATTCTTTTTAGCGTTCAACATTGGCAACAAATTCAGCTTTTAAAATCAGCCAAATGAAACATGTTGGGCCAAGCTTGCAACCCGTGCTCTGAATTAAAGTCCTTAGTCCTCAGCCTGGCACTGAGGCCCTTCCTGGTCTGATCCTAGACTTCCATTTCTTTCTGCTCCCTCCTCCATATTTCCCATGCTCCGTGTGTTCTTCAGAGTGCTGCTGCCTCCATTGTCACTGCCTGCCCTTCCTGGTCTGGGTCTGACTCATCTCTTTGTGACTTTCAAGCCCCCATCTTCCTGATGCATATCAAGGAACCAGGAACCAAGGGAGGTTCCTGGTATCTGTTTTCATAAGTCTTGTGGGCTTTTCTTCCCAGCTGCATGGCCTCATGCTTCCTTCCAGCTGTTCCTCCGTGGGTTGCAGCCATTATCTGTCCCTGCTGGGTGGTGGCAGCCTCCTGCTAAGTTATGCTTTTGTGTCTCCTTTCCTCAGTATTACCTGCTCTTCGTGTTGGCTGCAAGGAGGGCTTGACAGAAACAAACTACCGACCCGTCTACCTCCTGTTTGTAAACCATAGGACTGACTTCTGCCATCTCTAGGGTCAAGGCCATGGCATTGAGATCCTCCATCACCCATTTATTGCTTTTGATCTTCTCAGACCTCTTATTCCAGGGCAGCCTACTTTTCCTGCACTTTGCTTGTGCTGTTTCCTCTCCTAGGAATGCCTTTGCCCTTTCCCAGATCCAACCCATTCTTCAAGACGGTCCTTCCTTGATCTCCTCTGACCAGAGGAGTCTCTTGCCATGCTATCCTCCTCACTGGGTCACTTTCCACTGTCTCTAGATTAGAGGCCCTGGCAGTGTCTTAACTGCCATGAAATTGGGAGCCCCTAGCACTTGGAGCTCCAGGACCTGCCTGATTTCTGTCTCCATATTCCCTATTCCTACCCTAACTCTAATTCCTAGCAAGGCCTTTGGCTTCTGGTAAGCAGTGTTGACAGTGGTGCTGTAACTGTCAGGACAGGGCTACATTATGAGGCAATAACAAAAGATCCCCAAAGAAAGTAATAAAAGATCTTGGTAGCTTGAAATCCCAAATTTCTTACTCACACTACATGTTCATTGTGGGTCACGTTGGCCTCTGCTGTACCCTAGACCCAGATGAAAGGCAGCCACTATGTGGATCACTGCCAGCCAAATGGCAGAGGGAAAGTAGGCTGTGGGTGGACTCAGGCCAGCAATTAACTACTGCAGCCAGAGTGGAGAGTTGTTAATTCTGTTTGCAGTCCTTGGCCAGAACTAGTCATGTGGCCCTGCCCAACCTCAGGGAGGCTGGCAAGCACCATCCTTCCACATGGCAGCATGGAGGTGAACCAGAAAGACATACCCCATGACAAATGATAAGACAGTCTTTTCAGAGGCTTCGCCTGATCCCTCTTCCGTATTCCCTCTCTGAGGTTGTGGACTGTGTCACCACTGGTGGATTTGTTCATTAATGGAGAAGATGTGCCCTTGCTCTCTAGGGGGTGTGGGTATTAAGACTCATTAGACCAGTAACTGTTTTATGTCCTTCACCAGGAGATGCCTAGTGAAGAGCTGTGGAATCTGAGTCTTGAGATGGGTCCCAGGCCAGAGAATGTTGGAGCTTTCCCTGGGCCAGCTGCCTGCACAGTGAAAGCCCTGATGCTGGTTTCCTTGCTCAGTAGTGGGGTCCTTGACCTCACTGTACCTTAACATCCTCCTCTTTTGACTGAAGCATAGCCCCTGTCCTGGTCACCTCAGAGGTGTGGGAATCTGAAGTAACACTGGAAGGGAGCAGTGTTGTATGATGAGAATGAGCTCAGCTCCTCAAACTGAGAGTGAATCCAGGCTCTCTGACTTCAGGGATCTGGTACCTTGGGCAAGCTGCTTGCTCTCTCTGCACTTCAGTGCCCCACTTGCAAATTCATGGGGTTATGTGAGGATGCAATAAGGTAATGTATGCAGAGAGCTCAACGTGGGGCTTAGGGAACGACGAATGAGCTATTATTAGCAATAGTTCTAGTATTCATGGCATGAAGAACTTCTTCAAGGGGGAGTAATCATTTCTGCTTTTTTTCACCAGTCTAAAAAATAAGCCACTATGATATAGAGAAAAAAATGGGATGGGGAAGAAAGTTGGCACTGGGTAAGACTCAAGTGTTCCTTCTAGTGCTGCATCCCTACAATTGAGGGGCTTGAATAGCTTGTGAAACGTCTGAGTTACTTGCTCTCCACAAAGCTTTGTGGGAAAGGTTGCAGAAGCCCCAGTGATGAGTTGCAGTGGAGCTGCCATATGGAGGCTGTACCAAGGCAGGGCCAGAGTGCTCACTGCCTGCTGGCCATAGTGGCTCAGCTGGGATCCCAAGGCAGGCCCTCCTGCTGGAGCGAGTTGCCTCTGCTGAGGGTCAGGTGCAGAGGAAGCTGGCTTGGCCTCATCACCACCACAGAAAGGCATTTAAAAATATCAACCTGAGGATGGACCCTTTGACCCCATCTCATGTCCAGATGGCAGGTAGATTTCATCTTGTGGGCCAAGTCCAAGCAATTTCTGTTAGGAGTTCTGTGATGAAGACTTTGAACAGTGTCTGCTCTGGGTGTGGAATTATCATTTGGCTACACATGGTATTGATCAGCACCCCTGACCCACTGATTTTGTAGAGGCTAACAAAGGCCTGTGGAAAGGAAGAGTTTCTCAGAGTCAAATGCAAGTTGGTGGCATTTCTTGCCTTGTGAAGGACACACTCACTTCTCAGTACCTGCTTGTACCCACTTCTGAAAGTGAAGCAAGGAGAGAAGATGTTCTGGGTTCCCAAATGTGGTAGGAAGCTGGCTAGAGACAAGCCTTTAAGTGAGCTCGTGGCACCTTGTGTGCTCTGTGTCCTGGCGGCTGGACTTGGGCATTGGCATGTTCCTGAGGCACTTGTGGGGAGTGTGTGTGCTCTACTCTGCTCACCTGGCTGCGCTCTAGGCTCAAGAGACAGGCTCTGTTGCTGATAGACTAGTGTTCCTGTTCAGTCACCCAGTGCTGCAGCATGAGGAGCCTCCCCGAGTCCCCGGTAGCCTTTAATAACCATCAGACAGGCAATGTTGCCAGTGATACAAACATTATCCAGGGCACTTCCCATGGAGCAGTCCATTTCATGGATAGGCAGACGGCATTTGGAAGCTCCTTTGGCTGAGAGAGTCAGGAGAGCCTTGCTGCCCAGGAGGTTGGGTACCAAGTTTGCAGCAGTTGCTGTAACTGCTCTGCCGCCCAGAAAAGCCCTTGTGCTGAGGAGGGCATCTCTCACTCTTAGAACTACTGCCATTGGAACTGGTGTGAGACTGGGAATTGAGAACCTCAAGCTTCTTTTCTTGGCAAAAACAGAGATAATACTGAACTTGACTTCCTCATTGTATAAAACCAGAAGTGAATAGAAGCAAGGTAACGGAAGCTGCAGCCGTACCTCTGCACAGCAGCCCTGTGCATGGCCATCACAGCTGCCCAGTCCCGTGTTCATGGCAGGCATTGCTCCCTGGCCACTGCACACTGTCACTTAGTGGAAAGCTGCTTGCCATTCTTGTCCTATGTCAGCAGTTTCCAACCTTTTTGGCACCAGGGACTGATTTCTTAGAAGACAGTTTTCCTATGGATGGGTTAAAAGGAAGATGGTTTCAGGATGATTCAAGCACATGACATTTATTGTGCACTTTGTTTCTATTATTATTACATTAGATTCTCATAAGGAGCATGTAACCTAGATTCCTCACATGCGCAGTTCACAGTAAGGTTCCTGTTCCGAAGGGTATCTAGTGCCGCAGCTGATCTGACAGGAGATGGAGCTCAGGCAGTAAGAGGAGCAATGGGGAGTGCCTGAAAATACAGATGAAACTGCTCCTTAGCCCACCGCCTACCTCCTTCTGTGTAGCCTGGTTCCTGATAGACTGGTGTTGGTCTTCGACCCTGGGGTTGAGGACCCCTCCCCTAGGTGGTAACAAGGCAAGCTGGGCTTACAGCAATTAGGACATCCTGCCCATGGCCCATTTCCTGGTTCTAAGAGATGAGGATACCTGGAACCCATCATGGTAGTCAGAATGTACCATCAAGTAGTGGCTGCTGTTCTCTATGCTATGGGACCAATGGTCCTTAATCCCAAGGAGGGTCCAGATGAGGAGTCCTGAGAGGGCTTCAGTTCTGTGGAGACCTGAATGGTACCAAGTTTCCTGGTGGTGGTTCAGAGGCCATGAAGGGAGCGAATGGCCCAGCCTCCACTGGGCTCCTCTTCTCATGAGGGATGTGGACCACCCAGGTTATCGCCAGAGGTTTACCTCAGGGTCTGGAAGAGCTCTGTAGAAGAGTCAAAGACTCTACGTTGTAGGGAAGAGGAGGCTGGGGCAGTGGGGTGGTGAGGGGGAAGATGATGGAATCTAAATATTCACAACTTCCAGCATTTGGTAGAATAGCCACATTCCAGGGAGCCCCAACCAATATGGAGAGGTCACCAGGAGATGATTTCAGTTCAAGGGAGGACTCAAAGGCTAGGGTACTGTTGGGTAATTGAATACAGGTCTGTGGAGTGAGTTCCCCTTCTTGGACATGGGTGAGCAGAGGGGGTCATTGGATAGGAAGTAGAGGATCAGATGGGAGACTGCTTTCTGCATGGCAGTCCTGGCAGGGAGCCTTGAGCACCCAGGGAAGGAGGTGTTTGCACACATGGAGGGTGGCCCAGGGAGGGGCAAGGGGAGAAGAGAAGGAAAGGGCTCCAGCCAGGAGGTGGCGGCTGTGCCATGGCTCTGGAAAGAGCAACAGAAGAGCTTGACAGCCACTCAGACACAGCTATGTGGGTTTGGGCCTGTGACAAACCCAGGCAGCGAAGGTGCCAGGTCCTGCTTGCTGGTGCCAGCTGATAGTTAGTTTCCTGTTTCGATGGGTTGTTGGCAGAGCTTTGTGATTAAGCCTGCCAGAACCAACACTCGGCTCTTTGCTGCAGCCACGAGGAAAGGAGGGGTGCTGGCCGTGCTCCCGGGCCTACTTGTCTTTGCTGTGCATTCTCCATCTGGTGGGCTGAAGGGGAAAGGGAGTCCTGTTGGAGGAGCCCTGTTGGGACGGGCTCCTGAGCTGTACTTCAAGAGGTCTGGGGTCCCCCTCTGTGAGGCCTAGATGATCCCCTAACTCGCTGAGCTACAGTATCTTAAATAGTCATGAGTGAAATAAAGTCTGCCCCTCCCAGAAGGGTTTTTTGTTTGTTTGTTTTGGTACCGGAGATTGAACTCGGGTCCTTGTGCTTTCGAGGCAGGCGGCGGAACCGCTGAGCTAAATCACCGGCCCCCCAGAAGGTTTGTTGGGAAAAGAAAATAGGTATAAGAGAGACATAGCTATCTCTGGAGTAACCTTGGGTATGGTAGGAACCTAAAAAGCCAATGTGTCATACATTTTTTGTTCAATACCTCCTAAGAGAAATTTGAGAAACAGTATACTCTCTTTTGCATTTTTGAGTTGACATCTAACATTTTATCCAAAATGTAAGTAATTGGAAAGGATATGATTTCTGGAGTATTGTATTTTCTAAAAAAGGTGACACTTTGGAAATAAAGCTGTGAACCACTATTTCTAAATGTATCCAAGGGAATCCAAACACCACTGCTATTTGATATCCGCCATTGTCACTTAAAAAACATATGAACAAGCTCATCTTTAGCAGTCAGAAATTTTATATCTTTCCTTTTTCTCCTTGAGCTCATATTTCCACTCCACTTCCCCCACAGGGTTTTATCCTAATGTAATATATTTTTTATGCCTGAAAGTCTTTTATTGATCACTGTTTCACACTCATCCACCACAACAAAAGGTACATAAATTGAAATAGAAAATTCAGGGGGGAATTCCTGGGATCATAAAGCTCTACATTTTAAACCCCTTTTTTTTATTTTTCCAGATTGAGTTATTAGCATGCAATTTGTCAGAAATAAATTTAGATAAATAGTAAATGTAAAAGTAAAAAATTGTTGAAAATGTACTTCTTAATGAAATGGATATGGCTTTATTTCTCTCTCAATTGACTCATGTATCTGTGAATTAATATATCTTACTGCTAGAATGAGAGAAGACTCGGCCTTCATTTTATTCCTAATTTTCTGTGTTCACGGGAGTAAGCACTTAAGAAGCTTGAGCTCATAATCAGGAACTGGCGACGATGGGGTTTGTGTCAGTGCTGTCACTCTGTTCTTTGAATTCCTGCCAAGATGTTTGCCAAAAATCACGCCGGGTCTATCATCAGACAGCATTTTTAATGGTTTCTCCACTAACACCTCCATTAGAGCCTTCTTTATCTTAGTTGAAAGCTGAGAATTAGAAGTCCTTGGATTCAGAAAAGGAATTGTCCTCAGTCATGAGATTATCGTTTTTTGAACCTGGCCCTGGTGTTTTGGAGCCCCCCGGTTTTCCTCCCTGTGGGGAAGGCAAGGTGATAGGGTTAGAATAATGAAAGAGTAAGGGAGGAGAAGGGTGAAGGAAGAAGTGGAAGAGAAAAGCAGTGAGTAGGACCCTGGGGAAGAACACGTTTGGAAGATGATGGCTGGGGGATTGATTCTCTTAAAATGGCTGTGCTTATGTGTCCCCAGAAGCCTCTGTAATCCCCAGAAGATCTGTCCAACCTTGGTGACCCTGCTCCACAAGGCACTGGACCTGAGGCCAAGCCCCAGAGAGCCACAGGCAACCCCCTTGTCCACGACTTCCCTCTCCCAAGTCCACTATCCTTGGCAAGCTCTGGCCTAGTTCCTGTCATGTCTTGGAACCAGGAGTGCTGGATACCCTTGAGCATTTGAGCTGTGATCTTCTCTCATTCACCTTCTCTGCACTTCTGTCTTCTTGCATTTTGTGTATCCTGAAAGATATCCAGGCTTCCCTGGAGCTCGCTGGATATATGTGATAGGAATTGACAGTTGACCCTCATGTTCCCTGTCCTTGACAACCACACCCACCCTCCCGCCAACCCTCCCCATGATGCCCTCCCCAGTCTGCTCCCTGGGAAGGAGCTGAGCCAAGGCCTCTGCCAGGTGCTATGACATGCAGGTGGGAGCTATTAACAAGAATTTGTCTTGTGGATTCTTGTAGCACAAGTGACAATGAGAATCGGAAGGGGAAGGCAGGCTCTGGGATGCTAGCAAGCCCTGCCAGCTGTCCCTACCAGCTGTGCTCAGGGTGCTTGGTAGGGGACTCTTGGGAATCTGCTGCCCTGCAGAGAGGGGGCTGGCATTGAGGTACTAGCAGCCCCAGCTCTGATGCCTCTAGAACTTACGCTGTCTTGTGAAACGGAGGTTGGGTCGCCCCAACCCCAGGAGTTGTGGAGAGCTGGGGCAGGGGAGCAAGGGCCAGGTGTGCTCCGTCAGTGCTAACTGCTCACACGCACTGTCTTCCATGACCCAGCAAGGCTGATGGTGCTTGCATGCGTGGGCTCTGGAACAGAGCAGATCTGGGCAACCTGTGGCAGAAGTGCGGCCCCTTCTGTCCTTACTTCACACCAGTGGAAAATGGCGATAAAAATCATTGTGACCTGCTGGAGTTGTGGCAGTGAACCGAGCTGGTATGAGAGGCCCTGGGGCTGGGGCCCCACTCCCACTCACTGCCTATGGGCACTGGGCACGTTGCTGCATGCACCTGTCTGGGCTCTGCTCTCTCATCTGTGCCATGGGGTCAGAGGCCAGATCTGCATGGACATGTTGCAGGCTACATGGGCCACAGCACCTGGCACACCTGGCACACCTGGCACTTAGCAGGCAGGTGGTGATACTGATTACTGAGGTTTATGTAGGAAGAAGAAGAAGCTGGCAAGCCAGCGGACAAGAAAGCATGCAGGACCAGGGGCTCTGCACTGGGGCAGGAGACTGTCTGAGCTGAGAGAATCCAAAAAGGTCCTCTCGTGTCCCCAAGTATCAACGGTGGCCATGGGCCAGGGGGACACAGGCCACAGCACATATGGTGCACATCTCTTTGGGGATCATTTTATTGGAAGGTTTCTGGGGAGAACTTTTATGTTATAACCATGTGATGAAGCAGGATACAGAGAAAACAGAAAGCATGGCCTGTCTCAGCTTTCTACCCTCCCTGGCCTCCCTGGGGAACAGTGGGTGTCCCCTGGCCAGCACGAGGTCTTGAGTGAGGAGCTACATGGTGTGGTCTTGGCCACCCCTCCAGCATGCAGTTGGGAAGACTGAGGCCCTGACCATGCAAGTGACTGGCTGAGCCTAGTCAGCCCCTGGCTACCCTTGCCTCTCCCCCAACTCCCAGGCATTCTCCAATGTTAAGGGCTCTTTCTGATTTTTCACGTGATTCAGATGGAAAAGCGCCCGAAGGCAGCCCCCACGGTGGATCTGTACGAAGCCGGTATTCAGGGACCTGGATTTTTGACCAAGCATTGAGATATGCATCTGGTACGTGATGGCCGAGGGACAGGGCCTGATACGGGTCAGCATGGGGCGGGGTAGGGCTGGACACAGCCTCAGCTACACACCCTGAGAACATAGGCCCCACTACCATCTCAGGGCCCCAGTGGGCCATCTTCCCCAACACCCCATGCCACCTGGTGTGAGCAACTCTGAGCCTCCCTGAAAGTGTGTGGCTGGTAGAGGGACAATAGAGCATTTGGAAGTCTGGAGTCTAGACTGCCTGGGCCATTTCAGCAGCACTTCCTGAGGGCCATGACTACGGATCAAGCCAAGGGACAAGAGGGTCCTGTGCCACGTGTTGAGACCTCGGGTTCAACAATAGTGGCTTTCTTCACTACGGGATCCTCCTAAGCTCCTAAGAAGCTCCTACCTGTGCCTTCCAGGACAGGGCCACCCCAAGAGATCTTCCTCACACTCACGTGGCCATGGTCCTCTTTCCTGGGATGCAACCAGGAAGTTGAGTTCCCAAGAAAAAACTTGGGATGTAATACTGATAGCAGCAGCTATCATCTGTTGAATGCCTTCTATGTACCAGGCACTGTGGTAATAATACAGTCTGTGTATTATCACACACACACACACACACACACACACACACACACACTGTAGGCAGTTTCATCAAGAGGAATCATGAGATAGGGATCAGCCTGTGACTTGGTGAGGGTTTCCTTGACTGCTGCATGGTGGGTCAGCATTTGAACCCCAGTTGGCTGGCGTTGCTGAATGGTAGGGCTGCCACTCTGGTGAGCTCTCCTTGTGACTTACCTCCCACATCCCTGATCACCCTGAGTGCAGGCCCTTAGGGTGAGTAAGGGGCAGGCCGAAATGTCCCTCCTGCCAGTACATCTGCTTGGTCCTCACTCTGCCTGGTGTCAAGAAACAGTCAAATGCTGAGGAGCCATTGTGTCCCCTTCCCCCTGTGACTTTCTGAGGCCCAAAACAAGGCTCCTGGGGACCTATGTCTTGTTCTGCAGATTGGGAATGAGGTGTGAATCCCATAAAGCCAGGAAGGACTTGGGTTGGTTATAAACAGTATGGAGTCCATGGACTTCTGCTCCTCACTGCAGCTGAGCTGCCTCAGGTTCTGCTCTGACTGTCACATGCCATTACCCGGTGTTGTTTTCCAGTCTGGTGGCCTGTCTGCTGCCCGTTAGTTGGAGGGCAGGGATTGGATCAGGCTCATTGTCGGAGCCTCAGTACCTGGCCTGTTGCAGATCCTCAGTAAATCCTTGGTTGGTTGAAGGGGAATTGGCAGAAACTGTTGAAGAGTGGGTGGAGACGGCCAGAAGAGAGTCAGAGTCATTATTACTCAGTGACAGATGAGTACAACAGCAAGACACCATGAATTTATTGAGCCCTCGCTGTGTGCCAGTCACAGGGCTAAATACAAAGAAATACGCAGCCTGATCTTTGCCCTCCATATGGTTATATTTTCTGTGTGGCAGGGCTAACACATGTACAACCCGTAAATAACAGACCGTTGAATTCCACATGGATGTTAGGCTGACAGTGTCCCCTGGAGTGATGCCCAGGAGCAGCACTGGTACAGGCCACCCTCCCTCGGTGCCTCCTGTGCGCCAGCCGCCCCACATTGTCTCTTTTGGGCCCTGACCTCACTCACGAGGGGCAGGAATCAGATTTGTTGGCAGGTGAGAAAACTGGGGCTCTGACAGGTAAAGGGATGTATCCGAGGTCAGACAGTAAGGAGTGGCAGAGCTGAACTGACATTCAGTCTCCACACCCAGCGCTCTTCCAACTGCTTGGGTCTACCACCAGTGAAAGGCACAGCCAAAGAGAATCACAATTAGAGCTCGCTGCCACTCCCTGTGAATCCAGGCCTTGCTGGAAACACTGTTCACACCCATTCAGTCTGCACATTAACCCTCTTCATATTCAGTTTTCCAGTGAGGAACCTGAGGCACAGCCAGTAAATGGTAGAACTGAGCACTAGCCCAAGTATCACTCTAAACTAGCAGTTCCTGGATAGCAGAATCCTCTGGGGCTTTTTGGAAAAGGTAGGTTCCTAGGCCCTTTTCCCAGCTACTCTGAAGCACCCAGCCTCGTCCAGGGCCGGGGCCAGGGCCAGGGCTAGGGGCCCTGCATCTGTGCTCAGTCCCTGGATGTTCTGTGTGGAAGATCTGGGTCAGGGCCCAGAGGGTGTCAGGCCTGCCTGAGCGCCCTGATGGGTGGCTTTGGGCAGAGCCTCAGCTCCTGGGGTCCTTGCCATGCTGGGTCCTACGAGCTCTGCTGGCCTCCTGCCATGGGCCTTTGCCCCATAATGCCTGGTGGCTCTTTTCAGACCTCTGGGAGGTCAGCCGTTCCGGTCTGGCTGCTCCTGGGAGGAGGCCAGCAGGGCTGCCGTCAGGTGTTTCCGGTGTTGGTGTCTGTCTGTCTGTCTGAGGGAGCAGGGACGAGTCTTCTCCTTGTCAAGTGAATCAGGACTAGGTTGAGCACTTCCTAAGGGCAGGGGAGTACCTGGAGGCGGGTACTTTGGGCCCATTCTGTAGACGAGCAGGCTGAAGTTTAGTGTTTCTCAGGAAGTTACCAAGACCACAATGCTGCCAAGTAGCAAAATGGGGACAAGGACTGAAGTGCATCTGATCTGAAGTCTGTTCTGACTCTTGGTCCCATTCTGGACAAGGGTAGCTGGGAATTTCTGTATTGCAGTGAAGGAGGGAGTTCTTTCTGTGGGTGCAGTTACTCTTTTCACACCGCTTTTGTGTTCATGTCCTCTCTCCTATTGGGGTGTGAGTATGAGAGTTGGCTGGTGAAGTTACCGTCTCCGTCTTACAGATATGGAGGCTAAGGCTCAGAAATGGGGCACCTCGCCCAGAGTCGTGCAGGATTTGGAGGCAAACCTGGATGTAGACCTCAGGCCCTGTGACATGGGGCTGTGCTGCCTCTGCTTGCCGGGGACGTCTCTGCCCCAGGACAGTTAGCAGTACCTGGAGCTGGCACACATGGGTCCTGGAGCTCGGTGCTCATAGATGTGGGGCTGGCTGACTGCTGCGCTCCTCTTCTCTTTTCCAGGCTCCTATGAATGTGGCATCTGTGGAAAGAAGTACAAGTATTACAACTGTTTCCAGACGCATGTACGGGCACACCGAGGTGAGCGGAGTGTTCCCGGGGCTGCATCTCCCATTCTGTGCCTGTTTTCTCACTTGGACCCCTCACCTGTCCTCAGATGCCTGGAGAGCACCTGTCTTCTCCATCATTCTGCATACAGGGGAGGGGCAGGTGTGGGGCCTGCCGCACAGGATACCAGCTTCTGCCTTCAGGGCCCCAAGATGCCCCCTGCTGCTGGCTCAGCTACACCATAGGCCATGAGTTCATGTCACCTCGCGTGCTCCTCACGACAGCTCAAGTGGGGCCAGCCACTGCTTCCCATTCTGAAGTGAAGGGAACACGGGAACGGCACAGGTTGATAGCAGGGCCAAGAAAGGACCAAGGCTTTGTTCTCTGTGGCTTCCGCCACGCACTCTCTCTCACTTGGCACCAGCTGTGGCTCACTGGGTCACTTGGCTCACCTCCTTCCCCTCTCTTTTTCTCACAGACACCGAAGCCACCTCAGGGGAGGGAGCCTCCCAAAGCAGTGAGTATTTCTCCCCCTTCATGGGTTGGTGGGGGCCAAGAGCTGAGTGCAGAAGGAAGAGAACCTGCCTCCCCAAGACAACCCCAAGTGGGAGCCATGTTGCTGGGGTCCAGGCCTGGGGGCCAGAGGGTCCTTAGGAAATCAGAACACAGTGGCTCAGAGGAGTCTTTCCCAAAATGGGTTCCATGGCATGCTCTTTCTGGGGAGGTTGATAGGTTTTCTCTCAACAAAAGTTCTTTGAGCAAATAGCTTTGAGAAACCTTGAATCATATTGGAAGAAGCAGGTGTCCCTGTCCTCATTGTTACACATGCCCGAGCACCTCCAGGAGCCTAGCCTGTGCTGAGCTTCCTATGTTCTTGGGACACCGACTCATGGGGCTAGGGCTGTGTCACTGACTGGAGAAATGCTGCCTCAGAGAGTTACCTCATGAGCACCCGCGGTGACACCATTGCTTATTGGTGCTGTGTCCTGGGGTGCCCTATGGGACCTTCACATCTTGGGATAATTACTCACAGGCTCTGCCAGCCCTATATCTTGAGGGCCCGGTAGCCAGGCAAGTATAGAGTGGAACCTCTGCCCACCAACACTGAACTTCCAAAGCCAGTGGTTCTGCCCCTTGGTGAATACCCAGCAGAAACAGATGCGCATGTCCACCACCAGACAGGAACTAGAATGTTCTTAGTGCACTGATTCTAGAAGCTGCAAACCAGAAGCCACCCAGCTGCCCAGGTTGTTCACATGGGGGTCTGCTGTCCTTCAGTGAGCGTGAACTCATCACGGATTGTTCTCACACATGTACCATGGAGCCAGAGAAGCCAGACATCAGACAGTGGTCCTCTAAAACCCTACAGAAAGTGCAGATCCCGGCGAAGGGGGCTTGGTGGGGATAGAAGAAGGGTTGTTGCAGGAGGGCCCTTTGGCACTGCTGCATGTGCCAGGCTGGTTCCCAAACTTACATCCCGTGCACTGTCCCATGTCAAGGGTCAGCAGCTGTTTTCTGTGGAGGGCCAGGTGTGGAGTAGCTTAGACCTCAGGGGTCTGACATCTCTGTCCCAAACACTCAGCCCTGCTCATGTATCAGGGCCTCTGCCAGGGACAGTGTGCTGCTGGATCTGTCCCAGGGACCATTGTGTGCCCACCCCCCTTAGGTCTGGTACACCACCCTAAACTTTTTTTATGATAATAAGTAAACATTACTGAAGACAAAACAAACCCAGGACAAAGGTGTCTGAGGTACCTGGCCTCTCTGGACTAGGTCCCTTTACTCTCTGCCACATGAGAGGCAGGCTGAGCCGAGTCCTCTGTGTCAGGGTGGTGGACACCTGCCACGGGCCCCTGACAGGGAAGGGGCTGTCTCTCCCCGGCTCTACCCCACCCAACCCTGGCCCTGACTCCCATCTCCCTCAATAGTTTTCTTCTTTCCCAGCTCCCATGGTCTGCCTGTGATCAGATACACATTTAAAGATTTCCACATTTATCTTTCCTTCCCTGGCTGTTCTGGGCCCCTGGCCTTCCCAGGAGCCCCTCAATGAGCCGCTGTGTTCTGTCTGGCTTCTCTTGTGTGCTAGCTCACTGGTGGTTAGGGCTCAGGGCGGCAGGTACTATTTTTAGCCCTTCCCTCACTTTCTCCTTCCTCCTGTGGCGCTTCCTTCCCGCTGGCAGTGTGCTCTGTTGCCTTCTTAGTCTTGCACCCTCACCCTGGCCCCAGCCCCGGCCCTGGCCATGGTGCTGCTTGGAGCACCTGGCAAACCTCACGCCTGCCTCCTGAAGGGGGCCTGGCAGTGCAGTCTTGGAGCCAAAAGGATCCTGTGGAGAACATCATGTCTAGGCTGCCCACTTTGCAGATGAGGACACTGAGTCCCAGAGAGAAGAATCATGCTACGTATTAGCAGTGGAGGTGATAGTTCTCACACACCCTAGTCCAGGGACCTTTTGTTTATTTATTAGGAAAATAGTCCAGTCATGGATAGAGCCATAAAGATTCACCCACTCACCCATCTCTGAACTGAGAGGATAAGGGATTAGGCCCACATGCAGTTCGTTGCTGTCACTCACATTGGTTCTCTGTGTAAGACATTTACCAAGTATTTACCACACATCAGCCTTGTGCTTTATAATCTATGTCTCTGTCTGTCTGTGTGTCTCTCTCAGCACCCACCCCATGCTGGGGATTGAACCCAGGACCTTACACTAAGATAGGCAGTGCTCTACCACTGAGCCAGTCCCAGCTCTTCATCTGTTTTTTCCTTATTACAGCTCTTACTAGTTTACTATTATTTGTAAAGTTCATTTATTCCCTATTACAACTCTGGGAAATAAGGAATTGATTGTTCCCATTTTACAGATGAGAAAATGGAGGCACAGGGGTTAAGGAGCATGCCCAAGGTCCATCATACTTCTAAGTGGTAGAGCAGGGTTTGAACTTGGGTGGCCTCGCTCCAGGACTCACTTCCTAGAAAGGGTCTGCAGAGGCTTTCCTGAGACATGGGCTCCTTGGGTAGTTTCACAGATGAAAACTCCTTTGCCTCCTCCTTTGGGAATGACTCTTGCCTTCATCCACACCTCCATTAGGAGTTGGGAGCATGGTCCCCATCCACACTGAGAAGATGTCATGGTATGAGATTTGGCAGAGCAGGTTAGGGTGCTTCTCGGTGGCAGAAAGCTAGGGGTCTGTGTCTTACTGGGGGCGGCTCTCATGGCTCAAGATGGAAGGGTTGGGCTCACTGGCAAGAACAGCTGAGTGGCAGAGACAAGGAAGTGGGGCAGCAGTGGTCAGTGTGAGAGGGGAATTTCAGAAGTGGGGTCCCATCTGGAACCAGATCCCCTGAATTTCTCCATCTCTATTCCCTGGTGTTCACCAGTGAGGGTGGGACGAGTGGAGAAGCTGGAGATAGGGTCTGAAAGGGACCTTGTGGGTGTGGGGTGTCTAAGCTGGACTGCTGGCCATCTGAAATGATTAAAACCTGAGCCAGCTTGGAATCCTGGAAACATCAGCCTGGGAAAGGCCCTGGGAATCAGTTCATCTGTGGTCTTTCCTCCATCTCAAATTAGCTGATAAATGGGAGAGCAGGACTAGGCCTTTAGTATCCCGCATCCCACTGGCTTTCCCCTGGAAGATTCTGATACCCACGATCTTCAGAACATCTTCAGATGCCAATGCTGCAGGCTCCTCCTTTAGGGATCAGTCCATCTCCATAACCCTGGCATCTGCTAAGGGCCATCCAGAGAGAACCAGTGTGCTGGAGGGAAGAGGGCAGGAGTGGGAGAGGAGATGGCAGATGTCATCTCTGCTCCTGTATTCCAGTTGAGAGAGGCCAGAAACCTTCCCACAGAACTGCCAGGCAAAACAACCTTGGGATAGGCAGTCTCATCAGCTCCTGTGTTTAGGTGCCTAGGAGCAGGAGAAGGGAGAACAGGGAAATGCCCCAGCCAGAAACAAAGAGCACAGACCTGGAAGAGAAGGGCCATGTACTCTTACTCAGCTTTGGCTTGGAGTTGACTGGGTGTTTGAATCCTGGCTCTCCCTTCCCCCCATACAGTTTTGAGCAAGCTGCCAAACCATCCATGCTTGGGGATTCTCCAGGAGATAAGATGGATGGGCCTGCCCGAAGTCAGCCAAAGGGTTACATGGGCCCAGTCTGTGCCAGTACAAACATTAGCAAGTGTTGCCAGCAAAACGAGGGTATCATCTTGTATGATTCCAGTCTCAGATTGGGCAGACTTAGGGCTCATCCAAATTCAGGCCTATGTTATCTACTGCTGTGCAGCTCATTTTCCTGCAGCTTGATAACTTAAAGCGGCAAACACTTGTTACCTCCCAGCTGCCATGGCCAAGGGTTTGAGCCTGGCTTCCAGGGGTCCTTTGACTCCGGGGCTCTCACAGGATTGCAGCCAAAGTTTGGCCAGGGCTGTGGTCTCGTCTCAAGGCTCAACTGGGGAAGGGCTTCTGCTAGGTTCGTTCACGTGCTGGTGAGCAGAATTGGCTCCTGCCCAAGCTGTTGTGTTGAGGGCCTCTGATGCTCATGGGCTGCTCGCCAGAGGCTGCCCTCACTCAGCCCCTTGCTGCCTGCATCACTCCCCAGTGCACTGGACAATATGGCGGCCTGCCAAAAGTGAACAGGAGAGGCTTGGGATGTGCAAGACAAGTGACATAGTCTTTTGTAACCTATTTCAGAAGTGATATCCTGTCATGTTCACTGCATTCTGCTCATTAGCAGTGAGTCACAAGGTCCAGCCCAGACTCACAGGAAAGGAGTCTCCCACAAATGAAGATCACCCAGACCCCATCACTGAAGGTGCCCACCCTCCTAGCTGTAGGACTTGGGACAGGTCTCTTCTGGTCCTTAGTTTCCTCATGTGCAAATGGGAACCTGCTCCCTCCCTGTTTAGAGGACTGAGGAAAGGCAGGGGTGGGCCTGTCCTGGTCCCGTGTATGCAGTAACTTCGTGTGATTATTGTTATTCTTACTACCTCTGTGATGGGAGGGGAGACCTGTTATGAGCCAGGCCCTTAACCAGCTGACATAGAGCAGGTTAGAGGGTTTGGGAGTCACCTAGGGGCTCCCAGTCACCTCATCTGGTCTGAATGACCACAAAGGACCTCTAACACTTCAGCCCCAACCTTGTAGAACCAGAAAGCAACTCGAGCCTGGCCCAAAGTGGAGGGAGGGAGTAGCACTGAGGCTGCACATAGGCAAGGAGCTGCAGAGCATTGCAGGACACAAGCTGGCTGCAGCCTCTTTGGTTCAGAAGATGTGGGCAGTGCCCATGCCCAGGTGGCTCAGGAATACATTCTCCATGTGGCCATCCAGCTGCAGCCAGACTGGACTGGTCCCAGTTTTGGTCCCTGAGGCAATTCACTGGCCAGAAACCTCCACCCCTGGTGACCAAAGTCCTGGTAGGCACATGTGGCTTTCCCTCCCTTGCAGACAACTTCAGGTATACGTGCGACATCTGTGGGAAGAAGTATAAGTACTACAGCTGTTTCCAAGAGCACCGGGACCTGCATGCTGTGGATGGTGAGTCAGACCCGCGCTCCTTTTGTCCTACAGAGAGGTGCCCTTCCTTGGAGACCTGACCCCAACCCACCCTCCTCTTTAGCCAGAGAAAGGTCAAACAGCAGCCAGACCAGGAGGGGAGTGACCAACCCTAGAGGATTCTGGGAGAGACTGCCCTCGTTGTTATCCACATGTGCTTCTATTTAGGTTACCCCAAGTGAAATCGCCATTTTTATAGGTCAAAATCAGTTGAATATTGAATTTGATATCATGTCATTTTATAGTTTTATATTGGGCATTTGCATGCTCTAGTGAAGTTAAACCAATTTTTAAAAATGAATGATGGCATTTCAGCGTTAGATTATAGAGCTAGAAATTAGAACAATAAATTTAGGTAATTCATTTGTGGAGTCTTGAGAATCCTAGAAAGAAGGTCTTGGACCCAGAGAGGACCTTTGTGGTGTTCCCTCTGTAGCCCCACACCCAGCCCATCTCAAGCAGTGGCACCTGAGCCCACCGCCCGTGGCTGCTGGCTCATCCTTCCTCTCCCTACCTTCTCTTTCCAGCCTCTTCCCCCTTCCCCTTCCTCCTGCTCTGCCCCTGGAGTGCATTCAGGGAATCCACAAACAGGTGCAGGAAGAGGGAGTCTGTCTGCCTCTGGGGTGGGCACCTGCCCATAGGGAGCAGGAGGAGGTGAGCAGCAGGCTGTATCCTGGTGGAGATATGCTCTTTCTGGGTACCACACTGGCCAAGGAAGCCCTCCCAGCTCCAGAGACAAGCTTGCTGGCACAGAGGCTGGGAGCAATGGGCAAGGACTAACAGGGCTCCTGTTTGCTTCTTTCCCTCTGTGGTTGCCGCCTCCCGCCTGGGCGCAGTGTTCAGTGTGGAAGGGGCCCCCGAGAATCGGGCAGGTAAGTCTTTGGTGGCCACCCATCTTCCCTGTCCCCCACTGGGCTCCTGAAACCCCAGTGACCAGAGTGCTAATGGCTGTGTTTTCTCCTCCAGACCCCTTCGACCAAGGTGTCGTGGCCACTGATGAGGTGAAGGAGGAGCCCCCGGAACCGTTCCAGAAAATTGGTCCAAGTATGCAGTGCTCCCTGGGCAGAGGGCTGGGTGGGGCCCAGCTGAGGAGGCAGGGCTCAGTCCTAGTGCTGGCAGAGAGGGTGGCATCTCCCACCTGCAGCAGTGATACCCACCTGTTAGTCAGGCTGGGTAGTCTCAGGATACTGGTTCAAGGAGTTGCAGGCAGTACAGGGTCAAAGTCAGGGCAGGGCAGGTAGTGAGCTTGCTGTGCTGCATGGTGCCCTTAAAGTCTGTTAGCCATCTAACCTCAGCCTTTCCACCAGTGGGTGAGGACATTCCCTGCAGGTTTGTTGGGAGATTAAATGAGATCATGAAGGTAATACTTGTTAGCACAGTGCCTGGTACATAATAGGTGCTTGGGAAGTCATCCAGAGGGGGTTAGCAGGGAACAAAGCTCTGGTGACCAGCTGCATATAGACACTTTGTCCTTGCTGCTGTAAATCTCCTTGAGGACAGGAGCCCTGCATGTGACTCACTTGTTTCCAACCAACTTGTTCTGAGTGTTACTGGAACACAGCAGTGAATGGGACAGATGTGCCCCTGCCCTTGAGTAATTAGAGAGGCAGGGTAGGAGACAGCAGGTAAGTGAGCTGGTAGTTACAATCCAGAGAAATGCAGGGGAGTCCAGCCTTGGGGGATCCAGGAAGCTTCCAGAGTGGGGACAAGGGTAGCCCTTGCACCACACGCACACACACCCACCCAAAGGCTGGAGAAAGCACTGGTTTTGAGAAGGGGAAGGAGAATCTGGGACAGGCTCAGGTCTTAGAACTCTGAATGCTAGGATACAGTGTCTGGACTCTGTCTTCATGGGAACGAACCAGAGTTTACCAAATGGGGAAAGGACTTCATAGGGTTTGCAGTTTAGGCAACTAGTGTATCAGTCACCTTCCAATTGCTGGGACAAAATACCTGGCACCTGCAGTTTAAGCAAGGAAGGATTTATTGTGGCTCATGGTTTTCAGAGAATTTAGTCCATGGTTGGCTGGCTACAATGCAAAAACAGCACAACAGAAGAAAGCTCCTCAACCCATGGCAGCCAGAAAGCAGAGAGAGAGAGAAGGGAAGAGCCAGGGAGAAGAAAATGCCCTTCCAGGTCACAACTCTAATGACCCACCCTCAACCAGGCCCTGCCTCCTCCCAGCACATTCAGCCATGAATTCATCAGTGGATTAATCCACTGAGGAGTATAGGGCCTCCATGATCCAGTGACCTTCCAAAAGCCCCGCCTCTAAATATATGAAACTTTTAGGGGACATTTTGGATGGATGCCATAACATCCAGTATAGCCCCTGGGAGGAGACCGAATTGGGAGGGGTCAGGTGGCCTGGGGAAGGTATGGTGGGACCACAAATGTGGGAGACTCTTTGTTCCAGCTCTTTTGGAAGTTACAGCTCATTCATCTCTTACTACCCAGCAAGAAGAGACCTTTATTGTGTCTGTTGCATTACAATGAAGATCTAAGACTTTTTGCAAAAATATACACAAAAGTATGGAACAAGGGGATGAAGAAATCTGGGTGAAGGAAAATCAAAGGTACTATAACACTGCAGTCCACAGTGCCCTGAAGAGGGGCCTTGGAAGGTACTGGATAGATCCACTGAGGTGGCTTCTTCCTCCTACCTTGTCATGGTCAGAGGATGGATCTTGGCTTTCTTCTTAACTCTTCTTAAAGCATTCAGGAAACTGCAGAGGATATAATGTCTGCAGAGTGGATAGCATAGTGCCTATCCCGTGCATAGTGAACACTCCCTAAGGAGGAACATGGAAATAATCTTACAGATGAAGATGGTGGTGAAATCAACATCCAAACTGCCAGGACTTAACAGGGGAAACAACTGTGAATCAGATAGGTTCACAGCATTTGAGGAATTCATGGTTTGGTGAAAGAGCCGGACATTCATGTTCAGATACAGGATAGAGCCAGAGGGATCCATGGTCTCCTACTTCCTTTTTTGTTCACCGTCTCCCAGCAGCCCCAGAGCAGCCCAGCACTTCTGACTGACTGTGGCACTGCTGTTACGAAGCTAGGCTTCGGAATCAAACCGGTCTGCATGTGAATATTGGCATCACCAGTTTACTGCCTGTTTACTGCTTCTGAATGTCACTTGACTCTGTTCTCCAGGGCTGTTGGAGAATGCACTCACAAAGTGTTTAGCCCTGGGCTGGGGATGTAGCTCAGTGGTCAAATGCTTGACTACTGTGTGTGAGGCCCTGCTTTCAATCCCCAATACTACTAAAATAAAACAACAGCCAAAAGAAAATGAAGTGTCTAGCTCAGCATGTGGCTCCTACTGGTAGTCAGGGTGTAAGAAATGAAATGTTGCAGAAAGGGGCAGGGGTCAGGGGCAGGAATTCGGGAGCCAGCCCAGACCTGAGTCCTAGCTCCCCACTTGATAGCTGCATGAAGCCCCACAAATTTTCTAATCTCTCTAATCCAGTTTAACTCTAAAGTGGGGTGATGACAATAAGACTCCACGTTCAAGCTTGTCATGGGGATTATGTACAATTATATTTGTAAGGGAATTAGCATAGTCCTTGACACATGCTTGAAAAGCATTAAATAAATGAGACCTGTTCACCACCCATGAAGATTCAGAGCAGGATGAAACTTGTTCTGTGTATCTGTAACTCGGTCTAATAGCCAACCCATGCTAGGACCTGGAGGTATTTTCACAGATGGTAAGAATTATGCATTTGTACTGAGAAAAGCTTGAGGTTGTGGAGCTGAGCTTGCTGGAGCTGTGGAAAGCCACCCCTAGCTGCTGCTCAGGATTTGCCTTGGGAGATGGGACTGCTGCTTCTTGGGTTGCTGCCTGTTCTGTGAGCAGGCCAGTGCCACCCCACCTAAAAACAGTTAGGCATAGGACAAGGGGAGGCAGTAGAGACACCAGACATTCTGAAGGAACTAGTCACCCTAAGTAAAACTGTGTAGGTCAGGGGAAGGGGGAAATCTCTTCCACTTTGGCATCAGCCAAGCAAGTTAGAGTTAAGGAAGAGGAAGCCAGAGCCCCTGGGAAACAGGGACACCAGCTAGAAGGACTGTGTTGGTTGGGTGTCACTCAACCTTCTGATCTGAGAATTACCATCATGATAATGGGCAGAGGGAGGATGGACAACAATTCTTCTGTTGTGTCTTAGAACAGTAAAACTGGATTGTTCATTTATGGCTTACCTGATTTTTATGCCTGGCTGAGGAAGAATAACTTAAAAGATAAACAACCATAGAAAGTATGAAAGTTCTACATAACAAGAAAGAGAATTTAGGAGACTCCAAGGAAGACCACGTCTCTGAAAATGATCTACTACAGATGAGAAAAAACATTTTCAACCTCAGTTGAGTATAAGAAAATATGACCTTAGTCCACTTGGGCTGCCACAACAAAAGACCATAGCCTTGGTGGGTTAACAGAAATTTCTTACAGTTCTGGAGGCTGAAACTCCAAGGTCAGAGTGCCAGCATGGTCAGGTCCTGGGGAAGTTTTACTCTCTGATCCTCATGTGACAGAGCGAGGTGGGAGGGAGGGGAGAGAAAGGGAGAGAAAAAAAAGATATCAAGACAGGGTATATCTTCTAAGGGTGCTAACCCAATCAAGGAGATCCCACCCTCATCACCCCACCTCTGGGAGGCCCAGCCTCCAAATCCCATCACATTAAGGACTCAGTTCAGTTCATGGCATGACCCCTGTGAAAAACAAGCCTGAAGTTGTATGGTGAAAAAGCAACAGGATAAGTTAAAACAGCAAAGAGAGAACAGATGAGAAAGGACTTCGGGGAAGCAGAAAAATGTAAAAATAATTTAAACCTACAGTGTAGATAGTAAACAACAGAATCAGTCTATAGAAATGGAGTTGGTGAGGTAAAGGACAACTTTGAATAGGTGAATAAGAAATACAGACAGAAATAAAGACAACAAGAAACCAATTCCATTTAATAGGTGGTTTAGTACCATGGGACTGAAGCAGTACTCAAAGATCTAATAGAAGAAAAAAATGTTCAGCAGACAGAGAACCTGTTTGCAAATCTAAAATGCTCATCACTTGTCAGGTAGAGTCAATTTAAAGAAATCGTTACCTGAGTAAATCTTAGTGATTTTTTTTAAACTAAAGCGAAATACTGTCCAGCTATAAAAAATTAAATCTCTATAGATAAATGCAAGATGGACTTCCTTACACTTCTCTGCAGTTCTAAGTGCTAAAAGAAGAAAATAGATGTGTTTTGAAGAAGAGTTTTAATCTTAAGAATTTTATATCTGAATTGTGTTTCATATATATAAAAAAAGCAAAGGCCCAGAAACATACTATTTCTCTTATGTACCCATCTTCAAAAATTCTTTGAATATATACTCCAGTGGACTAAGTGGTAGAGCACATTCAAGGGCCCATTGTGAGGAATTCATTGTTTTAAGAGAACTTTCAACTGTTAAATAAACTAGAAGTTTAAAACATTTCAAATCTAATTATAAAATTGAGTGCCTAAGACAAAGATTATCCTAAAATATGAAAAAGTGAATTTTTTAAAAAAGAAGGAAAGAATGGGTAACGGTTACGATGGATTAGGCTAAACCAGTCCTGTTCATAGTGTGGTCCCAGACTAGGAAGATCAGCATCTCCTAGAAGCTGATTAGCAATGTGAATTCTTAGGCCCTAGCCCAGACCTGTGGGATCTGAATCTCTGGGGTGGAGCCCTGTGAAATAGACTTCCCAGATGATTTTTGCACATCCTAAAGTTTGAGAAGCACTGGGTTAAACTACTTTTCTTCATAATAACAAACCTGAAATTATCATTTTCCACTTGACTAACAATAGCTAGAGAAATAACATACTAGGTAAAATAGCAGTGAGTTGGGCCTGATGGTGAGGCTGAAAGCGAAAGGTTATGAGTTTGAGGCCATACTGTCCTACAAAGAGAGTTCAAGTCTGCCCTAAGCTATTTAGCAAGTCCCTGACTTAACACACACGCGCGCACACATAACCAACAACGAAAACCCAGCCAATATTGGAAAACAATGAAATATTAGAGATGCTGTAATGAAAAAGAGAATTTATATACCAAACAACTGAAAACAAGAGGGACAAGCTAGATAGAGTAGAAGAGGAGGGCTGGGGATGTAGTGCAGTGGTAAAGCACTTGTCCAATGCATGAGGCTCTGAGTCTAATGTGGAGGGAGGGAGAAGAATTTTAAAGTAAGTGCAGGTTAAGTATGCCTTATCTGAAATACTTGGAGCGAGAAGTATTTAGGATCTTGGATTTTTTTCAGATTTTGGGATATCTGCATGTAGATGAAATAGCCTGAAGGTAATTACATGCAATTTTTAAAAACAATTTTATAATGAAAAAAATTATCAAGCAATGGAATTCTCCACTTATGGCATCTTGTGATTGCTCAGAAAGCTTCAGATTTGAGAGCATTTTGGATTTCAGAGTTTTGGATTAGGGATGCTCAACTTGTAAAACTATCCATTATAGTAATAAAAACAAATGGCATGATCTCCTTTGTTGGAAGATAAAATTTTGTCGGGTTAATTTAGAATAATCCAATTCGTAACGGGTTTATTAGAGACATACCTAGTGAATCCCTTATCTTTTATTCTGAGCTTGTGCTGCTTTTTTCCCAGGGAACTCTTTCCTACTCCCTTAAAGAGATTAAAGTCTCCGTCATGAGTTTTCATAGCACTATATTTGTAACCTGTCATTGCAGTTTTAAATTAGTCTGTGCTAGGCATGGTAGCATATACTTGTAATCCCAGCATTCTGGGAAGTTGAGGCTGGAAGACAGAAAGTTTGAGCCTAGCCTAGGCAATCTAGCAAGACCCTGTCTCAAAATTTGAATGAATGAATGAATAAATGAATGAATGAGGTTGGGGATGTAGCTCAGTACAAAAGCCCTGGGTTCAGTCCCCTGTGTTATAAAAATAAATAAACTTGTCTGGGTGATTATTCAATTTTTCTGCCTCCTAGTTCAGACCGTAAACTCCTTGAAGACAGGAATCGTGGTTGATTTGCTCAGCATTTTCTGCCTGCATTCAGCACCTTGATGTTCAGTGAATGAAAGTACAAGGAAATGTAGGGATGTGTCTTTAGGCACATGCAAATAAATAGAAAGCAGGATCTGGCAAATTACAAAAAAATTAATATTAATGCTAGACAGACTAATAAAACTGTAATTAAATGTCAGAGCACTGGTTGTTAAATTTTCCCGTGCATCAGGATTTTCTTGTTAAAACATAAATTGCTGGGTCTTACCCCTAGAATTTTTCCTTCTGTAGGTCTTGGGCAAGTCCTGAGAATTTGCATTTCTCACAGGTTCCCAGGAAGGTTGAGGTTGCTGATCCAGGGGCTAACTTTGAGAAGTACTGTGTTGAAAAATAGTTTTCTGTTGAGAGTTCTTGAAGATTTTGATCTCAAGAGTGTTGGTGCATCAAACAACATTGTATCTAAATATACAAAGTAAATGTAGAGATACTACCAAGTAGAAGGATTTATCACAACATTTAATCTTTGCCAGAGCAAGTAAACAAAGATGCAGGACTTGAATAATGCAATTAGTACAGTTGATTGAACAACTTTGAAGCTTATATATAGTAGATAACATGTATCTTTTCCAGTGTTAATAAGTCAGCTACAATAATTATTTACCTACCAAAAAATCTGAAGCTTTTATATTGGGAAAGGAAGACCATAAGAAGACTAAGAAACGAATTTTTTGTTTTTGGTACCAGGGATTGAACTCGGGACCTTGCGCTTGTGAGGCAGGCAGTGGAACCACTGAGCTAAATCCCCGGCCCGGAAAAGAATTTTTCTTAAATGCTTGTAACATATATAACAAAATGTTGATATTCTTCATCTACAAAAAATTTAATGATTTTTAAAGGAAAATTACAAAAAAGCTAGTTAATTAAATAGGAAAAATATTTTTCTTAGAAATCAAATGGAAAAATTCAGCAGTACAATATAGTTCCTCCATTAAATATGCAAAATAGAGGGAGATAATATTGCTTAATGTTGGCTGCAGTGAATGGAAACAGTCATTTTCACACCTTTCTGATTGGAGTAGTGATGCTGTGGTTATCAAAAGGCTTAAAAGCGCATACTTTGCCCTGCCTCTTGGAATTTATCCTAAGGAAATAATGTCCAAAGAGTCTATTCAGTAATCTCTGTTTTGCAATCATGTGCAAAACTAATGAGCAAATGTGCAAAATTTTCCACAAGAATGTAGATCACGGCATTTTTTTTAATAAGAAAAAAAATCTGAAATAATCTAAATGTCCCTTGGCAGAGAGGACCAGCTCAGCAAATTGCAGAGTCCCATGGGAACCATGCAGCCAATAAAGGCCAGGGAGATCAATACTTATTGATTGGGCAAGAATGTCCACAAAGTATTGTCGATTGAATATACCAGGTTACAAAGAGGATATTGATCAGGGCTGACTAATTCAAGGCCACAGGAGCCAGACAAATGATATCAGCCAGAGAAGCACCCCCAGCTGAGACAGGGTGAAGGCTGGGGACTGGGGCAGATGGCAGGTACATGCTGCCTGCGGAGGGTAGACACTGCTCTTTGTTCGGGGGTTGTAGGTGATTGAAATTTCTCTTTAGTTTTAAAAATGTGTTCCTGTACTTATCAATATTTTATAATTTTCTCCCAGTGAACAATTAAGACATGAGGCATTTTTAAGAAGTTAGGCAGAGCAAAAAGAGGTAAAGTCCAATGGGGCCTGCGAGAGGAAGTGACCCCACTAGTGACCCCTGCTACTGAAGCGTGGGAGATGCTCAGAGACAGGGAGGGTCCCAGAGACAAGGGTCTGGGTGTGGCCACAGAGGACAGGGCTTGCAGAAAGGCTGATGGAAAGGTTAGCGCGGAAAGTCATCTGGGGTCACCACACCTCTCCTGAGCACCAGAATGGGGGTGGAGAGATGCTGTGTGCCAGGTGCTGTTCTAAGCACTTGACATGCACATCTGATCCATCAGCCTTTCTGCAAGCCCTGTCCTCTGTCCCAAGGTAACCTCGGTTTTACAGATGGGGAAATTGAGGCACAGAGAGGTTAAGAAACCTGCCCCAGGTTGCAGAGCAGGAGTTTGAGTCAAACTTGATTCTGATTGGTGGTTCCAGAATGAGGAGTTTGGGGGGTGTCACTGCTGCTTTCGGGTTGGGGCCAGGTGCCTTTTCTCACACGTTCCTCTCCTTCTTGGACAGAAACTGGCAACTACACCTGTGAATTCTGTGGGAAGCAGTACAAGTACTACACACCCTACCAGGAGCATGTGGCCTTACACGCCCCCATCAGTGAGTACCTTTTCCGGTGGGAGATGGGGCATCAGCAGGTGGGGGAGGGGGCCAGCCTGTGGCCAGGGCTTTGGAGCCTCATTGGGACTGGGAGGGGGGTGGGAGCAAGGTGAGCTCAGTCCTGGTCAGTCCAGGTGCCGGGTGTGACCTGGGGCCCCCTGACTGCAGTGCCTAGAAGGCCCCTCCCAAACTAGCAAGGCCAGAGCCCTCCCATGAAGGACTCAGAGGCCTGGTACATTAGAAAGGTGGACATCACTTGTCCAAGTCCTCCAGTGGCCTTGTCCCCTCCGCCTCTGAACGCCTCCAAACCAAGAGCTTCCTAACCCCACTCCCAGAGCCAGGGTTGTGTGATGCAGCTTCAGGCTGAGTTAGTGCAGGGACTGACCCAGGCCAGGGGCATGTTTGGTGAAACAAGACACCTCCCTCTTTGCCCTCCATGGTGCAAAGCAAGGAGGTAGCAGGAGCAGCAGGCTGGTCATCTGGAGCCCTGAGTTTGAAGCCCAGCAGGCTCACAGGCTGCTTCCTGTCTCCACAGTCTCTGACTCTTCCCCTGGCAAGGACACAAGAGGACTCCAAGACCTCTTCCCCCAGAGACCCCTGGCCTTCCATTCTGATGCCTGTGGGCCTCCCTGCTGGTTTCCCAGCTCCTTTTCTGAACATCAGATGGGCTCTATCTTTAGTTTCCTAAGCATCCGAGCTGGGAGTACCCCAGTCCTCCACTCCTGCCTGCACAGGTGGAGGATCCCATGTGCTGACTGAATCTCAGGGTAATAAGCAAGGTGTTTAGGATTGTGTTTGGGGACTTCACTGCTTAGGTTTCTCACAGAAGAGCTGTGGGGATCCCGTCCCCATTCTGTGGTCGGGAAGATGAGGTCTAGGGGCAGCAGCTTCCCCAGATTATGAGTGCCTCCAACCCCCGGTGACCTTACGTGGACCTAAATTTTCCTGAGGTCCAGCACTGGGCTAGGGTTCTCATTCTGGTTGGCCTTTGTTGCATAATGTATGGCTTCCCTTTTTGTGAGCCCACATTTCCTATCTATGAGAGTTCTTAAGGTCTTTCCAGCCCAGGGTCTGGATTCCAAACATCTCTGGTCTAAAGCAACCTTCTGGCAAGCACGTGCTATGATCAAGTGCCTACCATAGTGCCAGGTTGTGTGTGAGGAGAGAAAATACAGAGGTTGTGCTGGGTGAGCATGGACCTATACATGGTTTGATTCACTCATGGTGAAGGTGCCCAGGGATCAGGGCTGTTCATGGGCAGCTGTGAACCTGTGCACTCCAGTGAACCACTGCCTGCCTGCTGCCTGGTATGAGGATGCAGCGTTGCTTATGAGGCCATCCTGCAGCCTTGGACTCAGGCTTTGGAGAGGATCTTCAGTACTGCTTTTTTATTTTCTGGAGTAAGATAAGTAAGGTTGCTAGTTGGTGAGACAGAATGTGGCTGTGAACCCTGCTAGTAAGCTCCAGGCCCATACTCTGCCATGAAGCTGCCTCCACCTGCCAGGATGGTACAGCAGATTGGGGTGTCACTTGTACCCTAATTTTTTTCCCTGTCATCTGATGCGTCTCTCCTGGAAAGTTATCTACTTCACATTCTCTGTTCCTTGTTTTCTTTATCTTTCTGTGCACTCTCTGTTTTTCTGCATCCTCTTGTTGAATGAATCTCTCTGTTACTGAAGGCTAGACCCTCTGGAAGCATCTGTGTTTAAAACACAGCATGGGAGATTTAGGCTAGATTTAGAAAGACTTAGGCTGACTGCAGAACTTCTTATAAATGGACTCAGTATATACTCTTATGCCTGGTTCTTTCTCTCATGAAAATGTTTTTGGGACTCATACATGTTGTATGTATGAGCTCATTCATTTTTACTTCTGAGCAGTATTCCATTGCATCAATTGTGTGTAGTTGTGTACGTTGCCTACACACTGTATACTGTGCTTTGTTTTGTCATTTACCTGCTACTTTGGTTATTTCCAGTTGCAGGCTATTGCAAATAAAGCTACTATGAAAATAGTTGCAGGAAGCTTTTTGTGGAATATGCATTCATTGTTTTTGAATAATTAACAGTAGAATTACTGTGTTATTAACTTTTTAAGAACTGACAATCAAATTTTCTAAAATGGCCATGGCATCTTCCACTCCTACCAGCCCTGGCCAGGAGTTTCATTTGCTCCATGGCCTTGCCGGTGTTTGGTGGCATTGTCTTATTTAGCTCTAGCTATTCTAATGAGTGCACAGTGGTATCTCATTGTGGTTTTTGTTTTACTGATGACTAATGATGTTGAACATCACTACATTTGCTTGTTTTCTATTGTGTATTTTATTTTGGAAATTGTTCATCTGAGTCATTTGCCCATTTTTGGTTGGGTTGTCTTTTTATTAAGTTAAGACATTCTGCGTAGTTTCCAAGAGGTCCAGGTCCTTTGTCAGGTATATGTACTATAGATATTTTCTCCCAGTCTCTGACATTGCTGTTGATTTCCATATAGTACCTCCTGGTGAGCACATGCTTTTCATTTTTAAGAAGTTCAATTTATCATTGATTTCTATGGATAGTACTTCCTGGATTCCATCTCAAGATGGTAAAGGTACTCTCTAATACTATCTTTCAGAAGCTTTATAGAGAAGTTTAGCTTTTGCATTCTGTCATCCATTTGAAGTTAACTTTTGTGATGATGTGAGGTTTGAGTTCAGATGTGTTTTTTTCCAAAGAGATACCTGGTTGTTTCAATACTATTTACCCAAGATTTCTTTTCCTATTGCAATGCATTGGTACCTTTGTTGAAAATCAGTTGAATGTATAAGTGTGAGTTTCTTTTCCATTGATCTGTTTGTCTTTATTTCATTTCCACATTGTTTTAATGTTTCAACTTTTTTAAAAGAAGAGTTCGCTTCTCTAGGAACTTTGTTTTCCCACGTAAATGTTAATCTTGACAATTTCTACCCAAAAAATCCTAGGGGGTGGCTTCCACTGAATCTGTAGGGCAGTTTGAGAAGACTGGACCATGTGGTGATACTGGGTCTACCAACCCATGAACATAGTATATCTCTCCAAGTACTTAGAGCTTGTTTAATTTCTCTCAGTGATAGTTTTTGCTTTTCAGAGTAGAAGTATTTCACATAATACATTAAAGTTTAATTTCTAAGTATTATGTGTTTTATGATACACTGATTTCTAAATTTAATTTTCCAATTTTTGTTGCTATTACATATAAACAATTGATTTTTGTATATTGGATTTCTATGCCGCAAACTTGGCAAAATTTGCTTTTTAGTTCTAATAGGTTTTTGTAGAATATTTAAGGATACTCCTTTGTATATAATGATGTCATTTGCTATTAAAGATAGCTTTACTACTTTTTTATTTACTTTTCTTCCTCACTGTCTTGTTAGGGACCCTTCAATACAGTGTCAGACAGGAGAAATGAGCAGATTCTCTGCCTTCTTCCCAATCATAGGCTTTAGTTTTTCATCTTTAAGGACTATCACTTTCATGATGCAGGTGAAGGTTTTCTTTTTGGTACTGGGTATCGAACTTGGGTCCTTGCACTTGCGCAGCAGGTGGTGAAACCACTGAGCCTAAATCCCAGGCCCTAAGTGAAGGTTTTCATAAGTGCCCTTTTTATCATTTAGGGAGGTTACCTTCTATTCATAGTTTACTGACAATGTATTTGACTGGTTGGGTTTTTTTATTTTGTTAGTATGGTAAATAACATGGAGTTTTAAAAAATAAGTCACCATGCCTATACTTTATTAAAATACACTGAGAATATCAGAAAACCAAACTCTGAAATGAAACTAAGAAGCTTACATTAGGATGTTTCTTCTTTGCCAAAAGAATGATCTCTTTCTTTAAAACTTCTACTTTTTAATAGTATGTATTTAAGGTATGCAATTTTATGATTTGATGTATATGTATGTTGTGAAATAATCAACACAGTAAATAAAGTTCTTGCCTAGGCATCTAAGTTATTTGAAGAACCAGGGTAGTTTGTACCATTAATTTGCTATTAAGAGGATATTTGCTCACCTTCATCTAAAAATTTCCAGCATTTTGCTGATTTTTAATATTCCCAAGACTATCCCAAGGGCAGGGAAATCCAATCTAAGATTATTGGAGTGCCCCTTATTCAGTCAGTGGTGTGTTAATGATGGTGAAAGTCAAGGAAATAAATTTCAAGTCACGTTTTTTTAAACACTATTATCAAGGCATATCATCATTTAATAAAGAGCCTGTTATTTAAAAGGTACACTTTAACCCATCTGTATACCCATGAAACCATATATCTATCACCCTCAACAGTTTCCTTGTACCCTCTTGTAATCCCTTGTTTACCATTTTCCCACCCCTTGGCAAACACTGCTTTATGTTACTGTAGATTAGTTTGCATTTTCTAGAATTTCACATATATAGAATCTTACGGTATGTGTTCTTTTTTGTTTGAGGGAATCTGGCTTCTTTTATTCAGCATAATTGTTTTGGGATCATCCATGTTTGCATGTATCAGTAGTTCATTCCTTTTAATGAATACATTCATTCATTGCTTAATGATGAAGACATATTCTGTCAAGTGGATTGTTAGGCAGTTTTGTTGAGCAGACATCAGAAAATATACTTACACAAACTGGGACAGTGTGACATCATGAGGTGAAATAATCTACTGTTGTCTGTGTAGTCTGTTGTTAGCTGAAGGATTATTAAGTGATGCGTGACCAGTAATATGCCATTGTCTATGTATACCACAGTTCCTTTGTTTGCTCATTTATGGATGGACATTTGGATTGTCTTCCAGTTTCAAACTTAATACAAATCAGAACTACTGTATTTGTATATGGAGTGACATAACTGGATCATATGGAAGATGTATATTTAATTTTAAGAATAGCCCAAATGATTTCCAAGTGGTTATGTCACTTTGCGTTCCAGCCAGTAGGAAACTTTTCTTGTGATGTCCTTGTCTTCATTGCGTATCACAGTAATGCTGCCCTTATAAAATGA